TTTTTATTGTAAAAAGAAAATTAAATTTATGAAAATTTTATAATAGTTATTTTACTTTAACTAAATATGGCAATGGTGGTTTTGTACATAAAGAATTTTTAAACAGTGCCAATCTCTACATAAGCAAATAATTCCGAAAAAAATTTTTGATTAATATTATTAATGATGTGATGAAATGGATCCCTTTTCCTTCACAGAAGTTAATTTTTGTATCAAAATTGCTGCTTTTTCCAAATACTAACTAATACTGAAAGTTATATTACCGTTATAAGTAAGTCTTTTTGTAAAAGGCTAATCCTAACATTCATTTTCTTATAACGTTACAAGCAAGTAACCACTTTATTGATTTTTGTATATTGCCATGTTTGACACTATTTAGATGCGCACTAACCACCTTATAAGTAAGTTAATTTTTGTATATATATAGCCACATTAACAGGAGTAACCACCTTATAAGTAAGTTAATTTTTGTATATAGCTACATTAACAGGAGTAACCACCTTATAAGTAAGTTAATTTTTGTATATATATAGCCATGTTTGACACTAGTCGGCTATGCATCAACAGGAATAACCACCTTATAAGTAAGTTATCCCTTTTCCCTTACGAAAGTTAATTTTTGTATCAAAAGTGCTGTTTTGCCAAATACTAACTAATACTAAAGTTATATGTTTGTGCACTCTTCGACGCTGGTCATCATTTTTCCTTTGCAGGTAAGTAGTTAGTTATTTTTTCTAAATTTTTTAAAGAGGTGGCTGACTACTTTTGATGCTAGTTGTCAAGTATAAATAAATAATTTAACTATAAAAGCCCAAGTTATCTATCTGTTTTCTACTTCTATATTTAAAAACGAGTTGAACCTATCTATCTATCCTATCTACACTATCTATACTATCTATAAGTACTATATATAAAAAAATTTTTCACTTCGAAGAACAAAGAATCCTCTTTTATTTGAAAAACTGAAAAATTTGAATATATTTGTAGTCCATGATAGATATTTGTTTTATGATTATGCAAATTATAATCGACATATAAATCTGGGAGAACCACCACTACGACAAAAGAAAGGTCAAAGTAAGCCAATAATGGTAAGTGGTTTCTTTCAGAAACATTTAGTAGACTCAAGTTATCAGAAAATCAAAATTCGCCAAGATTTATCAATCAGATGTTTCGTGAAACATCGACTTTTTTTATCAACAAATACTAATACAAAGTTACACCAATTTAATTCCGACAAAAATTTCTCGAAAAAAAATATATTAATATGACAATAATGAAAATATGATAAAAAATGAATTTAAATAAAACAGCTAATCAATTATACCCAATTAATCAGATAACACAAACACCCTCAAGATCTCTTCCAAATCCTAATTCTAATAATTCTCATCTAGTTTTAATAAATAACTTCATTAACACTGGATCTGACTTCCTATTACCTAGGTAATATCCGGATCAGTCAACAATATCTATGATGCAGTTAAAATTGTTAAATTGAGACTGAATAAACTTCATAGACTTTGTTTGGCATATCTGTTTTTTCTGAAATGTTAAATTTAAATATGTATATATTTTCTTTTTAATTATTTTCAAGAGGAATAGCCTCATATAAAGTTAAATTTATTTTGTGAATTATTTTTATTATATTTACTTTATTCTAATAAAATTATATCAGCAGGATATTGCCTTTATTTTAAAAAAAAAAAAAAATGAATTTAAACGTTGCTATCGACTAGGTTTGGATGGACCATATATTTTATTGTTGGATTTTCGATCACGTTATCTTGCATTTGTTCATCTTCGTCATCTTCTAGTATTGGGATTTTAATAATCCAATTTTCCTTAAAAATAAATAAAACATCAATAATTAATAATATAATATAAATATATTGTAAGGAGGTGTAAAAACCTACTTTTTCCATTTTTTGAATAAAACATTTGATTTTTTTTTCTTCCAACGCTATTCCTTCCGCGGAATTAATTGCCGCTTTCTCTTGTCGATACTCTAAATACCATTGAAATAAATCTTGTTCTGTACAAGCTGTTTGAAAATAATAATAATAATCAATAAATGATAATGATAATGATAATAATAATATATAACTTCAAAAATATTACATTTAGTATCAAAACTGCGTATCTTTGCGATTATCATATCTCGGGTTTGTGTGTATTCTCTATGTGAAACACTCAACTGTCTTCTTGTAACAACAGAAGATGATGATTCACCTCTTGACATCATCAATTCATCATTGTTAGTAGTGTCTACATCTAAATCCATGACGCTATCATTTTGAGTTGACATTATAGTTCTTTGCGTGTTATCAATATCATCTGTTTCAAAGTATTCCAAAACCAAATCATCATGATAAATATGAATTATGGATTCTTTAAGTAGATTATAAGCTTCATCCACATATTCAGGTGATATCTAAATAAGCATATATATATTACGTCATGAATGTGGGTGATTTAATAATTACTATTATAAATAATAAATTACCTCTTCAGCACAATGAGCTTTTGCAATAGCTTCAGATAAACGGATCATACTTTCCAATTGGCGAACAGTGATACGATATGAATTTTGATTTACACCTGAAGCATCATCAGTTCTCAATTCTTTATATCTTTTAACGAGTAATTTTCCTGCTTCATGTGAAATCTGAGGCTTTAATCCTTTTGCATATTTTATATATTGTTGTAGTTGGGTAGTGGTAAAACATGGGTTAATAGCATCATCACCGTATCGATGTGTTTTTATAATATGATTTGCTATCATATTATCTACATTTGGTTTACACTCATCGATCACCACAAAAAACAGATCGAATCGCGACATAATAGGAGCCGACATTGCAATATTTTGCTATAAATATATATTTAATTATTATTAATAGAAAAAAAATATGTAGAATGATACTGTGAATATAAAATAATCACTCTTAATGTTAATCTCCTATTATAGCGACCACCAATTGGATTTGCAGCTGCTAATATTGAAGTACGAGCATTCAATGATGCATGAATACCAGCTTTCGCAATTGAAATAGTTTGCTGTTCCATAGCTTCATGAATAGCTACTTGATCAGATATATCCATTTTATCAAATTCATCGATTGCGCAAATACCCTAAATCGATTATATAAATTAAATTTTGAATTAAAAAATGCCATTCATTACTAATAAATTGGCAACCAATAAACAAACTAAATAAATAAATTACTAACATTATCAGCCAACATTAATGCACCAGCTTCTATAGTAAAATCACCTGATTCTTCATCTTTTACAACAGCTGCTGTTAAGCCAGCCGCTGTAGATGATTTACCTGATGTGTAAACAGATCGTGGACTCATTGTTTGGGCATATCTTTACATGAAAGAAGAAAATAAACAGAAGATTTTTTTTTAAATCGTGAAACGTTAAACTACAATATAATCTTTCTATATACTCACTTGAGAAATTGACTTTTACTAGTGCTAGGATCACCAACAATACAAATGTTTATATCTCCACGAAGATTAATGCCCTCTGGAGTTACCTTATGAACACCACCTAATAATTGAAGTAAAATTCCTTTCTTTATAATTTCATGACCTATGCAAATAAATTATAATAGATATCAAGTTTAGTTAAATTTATACCCTATATATGTGTGTATATATATATAATAATAAAGCAATAAACAAACCAAATACTGTCGGAGCAATACTTTGAACTAGTTTATTAACAATATCATTATCTTTGCCCATTGTTTCCAATTGTGACATTTCATCTGCAGTAAAAATCTCAGTGATACCTCTAGACTCTTCTTCAATTGTGTCATTATCAACTTTTCCCAAAATAAAATTGTCAAACTTTTAGGTAGAAAAAAGTGAGAAAATAAATTTATAATATTTAAAAGAATAAATAATCTATCCATTAAATTCGTTAATAAAGGAGTCTTTTAGATAATAATCTACCTTTGCATCAAATAAATATACATTACAAGCTAAAAACGATATTTTATAAGATAAGTCTCTAGCGCCAAGCGCTTTTATACCAGTAACACCTTCGCTAGCAATACCATCAAACATCTTTGAATGAACATTATGATTGTTACGTTCAATCTCTGTTCCAGAACCTATTTAATAATAAAAAGGTATTGATTATTATTATATCAATAATTAATAATAATTTAGAAATAATATATCTATGAATTTTTTACCTGGAACACCAAGTTGATTAATATCTGGGATTGCTAATGGAGTTCCAACAAATACACACTTATTACCAGGTTTTGCTCGATCAACCATTTCACCTCGAACGATTATTTCAATACTTTTAAAATTTATAAAGAACAATAATTAATTAATAATCTTTCTTTATGATAAACGGTAGACGATACATATAAAAAAAAGAAACTTACGTTCTAGGCATACTACCAGTGGGTATTTCATTTGGATTTTCTTGAATACGGATTCGTTGCCAATCAGTGAAGTCAGATTTATCAATGTTAAGTATCCATTTGTTTCTGTTGGAACAAGTTGGTGTTTTACATAGTGAAGGCTTTTTTAAATATAAATATATATTAATAAACAAAAATCATTATATCAACAATAATAATCGATTTGTGATTGTTTTTTTCACCTCTGTATAGCGAAACTGTTGTTCTACATTCGTTACTTCAGTTTTGCATTCAGGACAAGTAAAATTTCCGAAAAGTAATTCAGGACGAACTTCACTTGTTCTGGTAACAGTACCACAGATAGCAATCAGTGTTCCAATTTCAAGAGATTTTATTTCTCTGATACGATTTATCAAAAGAGGGTTATAAAACGCCACTGAATATTTCAGAGAAAATGATTTTTCCAATGTATCCAATTCATTAGTTACAGACTGATTATTATTTTGTTGAGTATTCGATATTGTATTATCAAGTTCTGTTATAGCTGGCAGTGGTGCAGTTTCCATAATATTGATATCATCATCTTGAGCATTGATATTATTGATAATGTCGTTATTGCCATTGTTATTGTTGGGCTGCATTGATTCTTTAGGATAATGAAAATCCATGAGAATCTCAACAGATTTACGAAGATATGGCTCAATTCTTATGAGTAAATAATATATGAATAAAATAAGTATAAGTATAAATATGTAAATACATGAATAAATAAATAATTAATTAATTGTGATTTTTTACCGATAATATTGCTTAGAGATTCCTAAGCCCAATGACGAATTATAGCTATAAAGTTCTTTAAAATCCACATATAAAGTATTGCTGCCAGATATTCTCAAATTTAAAAGTTGCTTCATATATGATTCATGACTAGGAATTTCCATAAAATAAATAATAAATAATAAATAAATTGATGCAAAATTTATTAATGTATATTGTATTTCTTTTCTTTTGAGTGAATGGAAAAAATATATACTCACTCCTCAATAAAATCTACGAACATCAGACCGAATTGGACAGCAAAGTTATCTCTGGATTTTTGGATTCCATCAATAATTTTTCTTTGTCTAGGAACTCTTTTTCTTCCAACGTCTTCTTCTGCCTCTCCGTAATTATTATATTCCATATTTATTTATTTCAAAGATAACAAATAATATAATTCACAAAAGTATAATAATAATATTTAAAAGATGATGGCAAAAAATTTTTTTGGATGTTAGACGCGTCATGAGCAATATTACTATATTTAGACAGTACGTTCCGCAGGCGGCCAAAATCACGTAAATCTAAATCATGTAAACTCTTTCTTGGTAATTCGCATACATTGGATGAGGTTCCAACTAGAAGTGCTCAGTGCAAAATGGTAGAGAATTTATATTCACTGGACAAAAGCATTATATATATATATATATATATATATACACATACAAGAAAGAAGTATAAATTCAAAAAAATTATATTTATTATTAAAAAAAAATCCATTGAAACAATATTAAATAATATGAAGACTAGCTTTCCATCCATTTATAAGATCCCATCAAAAGATATTGTTTTGGAAACCGCCCAGGACATGGCGAAAGAATTGTCATTTTTTGTTTGATAGTGTCGACTTCAGAACTAAAATAATAATTTTATTATTAATGTTATAACTTTTAAGAAGTAAAATAATAATAATACATACACATATATGAACCCAATGATGCTTGATTCAAGAATTTCAATTTCATCAGAAGAATTGGATGCAGTAATGGCCAGAATTGAATGTCGTAAAGTATCGTCCGGTTCGACCTTTACTAATTGAGTTTCACTAACTCTTCTATCAAATCCGATCGGAAGGGCAGAAGGTGGAGCAAGTGAACCTATTTGATTAGTTAAATAATAATAAATTGTTAGAATCTTTGGAAAAGATGAAAAAAAAATATATATGTATTACCAACTCCAACACGAAATATTGTGACATCATTTAAATTAATTAAGGTTGAACAAGGTGATAATTCAACTTTAGGTAATCCATAAAAGTATTCACGAATTTTACGCATTTGTACTTGACGACGAAATCCTTTATCTTGATAAACAACCTAATAAATGATAGGATTTTAATATTATAGCGGTAATAAAATCAACCCAATTTTTCTCAGTCAATTTATTACTTACACCTCCTGATTTTGCAAGCTTTAAAACATGTATCTTGGAATGATCACTATATAATCTTGCCATATCACTATATAATCGTTCATGACCAAGCACGATAATTATATTCACTTTAGAAATGCAAAGTTGAAATAAAAAAAATCCAAATTAATGAAATTTATACAATGTTAATATACTAATGACTATATATAGATTACCATCAAACGCATCTACACAATGTTGAATAATATCGTAACCAGTATTATCTATAAGACCATTAGTATCGATAACCAAACCAGAAATTCTAGCTAGAGTAAAAATAATAAAACTTGATATATAAGTGAATTTAATAACATTTATTATTTTTAATATATAAATTGATTAATAATTAATAATTCACTGACCATATTCATCTTTTTCAAGGCGTTTTTTAATAGAATTGGCTAATTTGGAGGTTAATACTTTATAGAGTTTTACATTTTCACCGGGATCAGGATATCCATAGTAATAAACAATTGGAATCATCGATGAGCCTATAGTTGGAGCAGTTGTTGATGATGAACCAAAACCTTCTTCAACATCTAAGAGATGAGTTATCGGAGTAGCAGACAGGGTGCCAGGCATTGTAATGGAGCCCTAAAAAATCATATTATTATTATGGTTTAATGATATATTTGATTGATTATCATACAAATAAATATGATCACACTTGATTAACTTGCCTCGTTGACATCCAAATCTACATATATAGGTTGTCTTCCAAGACGAAAAGCATAACTAAGCAAAATTTTACTTAAAGAAGTTTTGCCTACATCTTCTGGTCCTACTATTATTACCTAATAAATAAATAAATAATAGATTAAAAAAAATTTAGAATGACTAAAAACACTTGATAAGATGTTCACAAACATACTCTTGGACCCTGTTCATTTTTCTCTTTAGCTTCTTCTCTGCATTGTTCAAGAGCTATATGCAAATTGAGATAACTGATCATTGGAGTTTCATTTGCCACATACTCAACACTGCAAGATCCTTTAATGTAATGTTATTCATATATATGATAATTTTTATTAAAGATTTTTATTAAAAATTATAAAAAATTTGCGATAGATAATTTTATTATTTTTTAATAAAATCCTTTTTGAGGCAATAATAAAGGATATTTCTAATTTACATCCATGCCAAGTAAACACAGCAACTTTGCGACCTGTAAATTCATATTCTAGACCCACAGCAATTTCTGTTCCATATATCTCTGCCGTACCTGAAAGTAACTAATATATAATAAATTCTATTTATATTTTTGGTTTTTTATATAAATAAATTATTATTACTATTATACCTTTAATTTTACAGTTGTATTAAAATCAACTTCAAAACGAAATTCATGCTCTGGATCTAATTCCCAATTTTTTGAGATCTCTTGAGTCTATAGATAAATGTCAACGAGTTAAAAAAATTTTGAAGAAATCTTATTTTGTTGTGAATTCATATTACCTTTTGCCCTGGTATTATAGAAGTTTTAGTTGTTGGATTTGAATTCATGATTTTTATATTTTTTTGATCTATCTATATTATTTCTATATATGTAAATCTTTAATTTTCAGTCAATAATTTCTTAACGTGAGTCAACATTTATCACGTGAAGAACTTCGCTGAACATTTATTGTTTATTATTATCGTAAAATAATATCAATTATTTCAGGTAGATGAATGCATGATTTTTCACCGTCATATACGCCATTCCTTATTGTTCGTATTATAGAATTTATCTACAGAAAATAGTTATTTAAAAATGAGAAAAGATTGACCGGGAAAGGGGATAAATCATTGAAATGTGGATGGTTTAAAAAATTCAGATGAAAAATGTTTATAAATTAATTTTTGCTAATAATATTATTATATATGTAAAGTCTTTTATTGTAATGTTTTTTTAACTAAATTCTATATATGTTACATATATGTTATATATAAATTGAATCTCAAGCAGTTTTTGGTGAAAAAGCTCCCGTGAATTTAATAAATATATATGTATAATTAGTAAAGACATAAAAATTATATACTTCATCATAAAATTGTAACTTTTTATTTACTTTTTGCTTCAGATATTGCTTCATTTAAGATTGTTTGTTGCTAATAAAGATAAATGATAGTAAATAAAGATTATAAGAATCAAACTAAATATATGTATTTTACCAACTTAGAATCCAGTAAATTTTCAATTACATAATTTGCAAATGCCTTTTGTTCACGTTCACGTAATGAGGTTTCATAACGTACCTATGAATCTAAAACAGCTTTAATTTCTGATGCTGCTACAGCCTTCTGTTTTCAATTCAAAAGTCTCAGCTTCCAATTTAGCTGTTTACAATGTCCATGTACATATATACATACACGCATAGATGTATTAATTAGTTTGAATGATAATGTTTAAAGGAAACAATGTTTTGATAACATCTACAAGATTTCCTATTTGGCCAACAGTTTCGATTCTTTCTACAACAGCCGATTTATGATCTTCTCTGGCTTGACGAAGAATACTATTAACTTGCTTCATTATGATTGTCATTATAATAATAATAATAATAATAAAGATATCTTTTTAACTATTAGAATTAAAATAATGAAATTATCATATAAGTCACATACTTTTTTGTGTAACAACACATTCAGAGACTGGTTGTTTAAGTGCTCTATAAATAGTGGCACACATAGTAGAAAATGATAATAACAAAAGTGTTTCTTCATTCAAAACATAAAGCTCTTTTGATATTGCTAATGTTAAAAGTCCCGTTCCTACTGTGATGTATCCTGTCTTTGTAATCAAAGAATTGTCCGGAAGTGAATCAATGATACTTAAAGCTGTTTGTTCTGATTCAATAACTTGCTTCTCTAACAATATTATTCAATTATATATAATCATAATAAACATAAAATTCGAAATAAGATTATGTTCCATCCTTCTTCGTTTATCCTTAAACAATTTAATTCTTATTCTCCTCTCAAAAATTAAAAAATCATTCAAGTCTTACCATCCTTAATTGATGAATATTTCCTAATCCCATATATCAATTAAAAAAAGGCTCTAGTTCATAACCCAATTCATAACATTAGTTTCTAAAATTATTTTTCTAAAACTGATAATAATGGTATTACCCAATGAAGGTTATAGGGCGTTCAACATTTATCAATTGTTTTAAAGGAAAGGCTAAAATTTATTGATTAATAATGTAAAACTTTTCATTAATTCCCTGAAAAAAAAAATATATATATATATGAATTGCATTTTTTATTCTGGGAAGCCATATTTTGGGTAAAAAAAATATGTAGAAATTGGAAATATCCCAAAGTTTTTGATTGGTCAACTAGTTAATTAAATTATTCTCAATTTTTTACAAGAACAATAATAAAAAAGAACGTATAAAATGGATTTTGATCCGTCACAAAACGATTCTCAATACCCAGAAGAATACTGGGGTCAGGGTGGTAATGAATCATTCATTAAAAGTTAAATTAATATATATCATTCATCAATAAATAATTGTAACTAACAAGTCTATTCCTTATACACTTACAGTAAACCGTGCTTCAGAATTAGCAAATAATTTTTTATCTACTCTAAATTTCTCTGCCGAAAGAAGTGACGATGTATATATAAGAACTGAAGAAGCTGCTGATCAAATGGGTATGTACTTTTTTTAAAAAAAATCCAAATAAAGGTTTAACCTTATTATAATTTGAAATTAATATTATCATATATTTCATAATTTCACATACATAAATCTTTTTTCTTTGCCCCATTTGAGAGAGGGAAATTCAAATAGTTATGACTATATCTATAGTAATGATTTCTTATCAAGCCCCAATTATAAATTATTTAATTAGTTAATTAGTCAGTTAATTAATTAGTTTGTTAGTTTAATAGGCATGATGAAAAAAAACCCCCAAACAACAAAAAGAATCATTTATTATTATTATCTTTTATATATATTTTTATTTTATTTGGGGAAAATAGTCACTAATGTCATTATGTCCTCTTTTATTTTTGTTTTTATTTTTATTCTTATATTATTTGGTCAATGATCACATATAGTAATGAGATTCTTCTCTTTCCTTAATAATTTTAACAAAAAACTTTCCCAATTCGCATAGGTTTACAAAAAAAATTACACAAAATCTATTTTTTATTTTTTATATTTCCATTCTTCTGTCTTTATTTAAGCAGCACAGCTTAGCATCGAACCTATTGCATTTGTTTGCATGAAAGCTTGCCGGAAAGATACATCCATTGGGACCTTCTCAATCTCTTTTTTTTTTTTAGGTCATACTAATAAAATTAAAATCATATAAATTATTTTTTTTTCTTTTATATATATATATATATACACACATACACACATGTTATCTTTATTATCAATGCCGTGCCATGTTTTCAGTTTTTAATTTAAATGACAAACAAATTTCTCATCATCATGATCGTACTCATGAAAGAAGTGAACGGCATCGATCTAAGGAAGATGATGATCAGGACCGTCGTGAAAGGAAAAGAGACAGAGATAAAGACAAAGAGTCAACTAGAGATCGTGAAAAAGATCGCGTCAGAGAAAGAGATAGAGATCGTGATAGAGATCGCGATCGTGATCGTGATAGAGAAAGAGATCGTGATCGTGAGAAAGGACGAGATAAAGATAGAGACAAGGAAAGGGACAGGGTCAAGGAAAGGGATAGAGACAGAGAAAGGGATCGTGATCGCGACAGTGATAGAAGTGGTAGACGCAGAGAGAGAGATCGTAGTAGAGAAAGAAGTAGAAGAGATAGAGATGATAGAGATAGTAGACAACATCGTTCAAGGAGGAGAAGTCGTAGTTATAGTCCAAGACGTCGTACTCGTTCTCGATCAGTAACTCCTATCAATAAAAGAAGAAGAAAGTTAAATAATTGGGATATACCACCACCAGGATATGAAGGCATGACGGCAGAGCAGGTTAAAGCTACAGGTTAGATTTTTTATTTGACGATGATTATTAAATTATTATTATTTTCTATGATAAAAAATATAAATTTATTAAATATCTTTTTTAAATAGGGCATTTTCCACTTCCTGGACAACCTGCTACTACAAGACCACCAGTAGTTCCAAATTCACCAGTAATACCTGGAATGGATCCATCAAGAGCAGCAATGATAATGGGAATGACACATGAACTTCCACCACGACCTAAGGTCAGCCAAGGAGCAGCAGGTCCAGTTGCACAAACAGCATCATTGGCAAGACAAGCTAGGCGACTTTACGTTGGTAATATTCCATATGGCATTGACGAGGTAAACCATATTTTTTTGTTTTTATTTTTTTTTTTTATTCTATGAATTTATTTATTTATTTCATTGTTGATATAATAGAATGGTTTATCAGAATTTTTCAACACTACTATGCTTCAATTAAGTATTACCACATCGCCTGGTAATCCAGTTATAGCTGTTCAAATCAACCATGATAAAAACTATGCGTTTGTTGAAGTAAGTAGTTATTCAATTTTGAATTCAATACCTATTATACATAAATAAATACATTCATGTTTTAATAATAATGAAACTAACAATTTTGTTTATCAATAGTTCCGTGCTCCTGAAGAAGCTACAGCTGCAATGGCATTTGATGGAATTACATTTCAAGGTCAATCATTAAAGATTCGTCGACCAAAAGATTACCAACCCCCACCTGGACAGAATCTCGAACCACCACCAATACATGTACCAGGTGTAGTGTCTACAAATGTGCCTGATAGCCCAAATAAAATCTTTATTGGTGGTCTACCAACCTATTTGAATGATGAACAAGTTATGGAGCTTTTAAAATCTTTTGGAGAATTAAGAGCTTTCAATTTAGTCAAAGATACTTTATCAGGAATTTCCAAGGTAAAAAAACTATCAATAAATAAATATTTTATATATATTGTTATATTTACAATATTATTTTTTGGGGATTTATTTAGGGATTTGCATTTTGTGAATATCTTGATCCAAGTGTAACAGATTTAGCTTGCCAAGGTTTAAATAATATGGAGCTTGGCGATCGTAAATTAGTAGTTCAAAGAGCTAGTGTTGGATCAATTAAGAATGCTGGTGTAACAACATCTCTATCATCAACAGTTCTTATTCCAGCTGGAAATGGAGAGATGCAACCAACTACTGTTCTTCAGCTTCTTAACATGGTTACTCCTGAAGAATTAGTAGATGATGAAGAGTATGAAGGTTGGTTTTTTACTGTTAATATAATGTAACTGTTTAGATCATATTATGTCAAGTCATTGATTTCTTGTTTTTCATAATTTTCAATTAAATCTATTGTTGACTATTGTTATAATTTAAAATAGATATTGTTGAGGATGTTAGAGAAGAATGCTCTAAATTTGGTCGTATCATTGATATGAAAATTCCTAGGCCAGGTCAAACAACTACTGGTGTTGGCAAGGTAGATTTATTTATTATATTTATATTTATATTTATTTATTATATACATGTTTCAAATAATTCTAATATATTTGCTTATTATTAAAGATTTTTGTAAGGTTTGATTCTGCAGAGGCAGCTGGTATAGCACTTCGAGCACTTGCAGGAAGAAAGTTTGCTGAACGTACAGTTCTTACATCATATTTTGGTGAAGAGCAATATTTTGCGGAAGATTTTTAATAATAGTATTTACAATAATTACAACAATTATAATCTCCTTTCATCTTGTAACATATTTTCAATAATTATTAAATGAGATTATTAAAAACCACAGTGATAAAGATTTCAGGGTATAAATTTTAGTGATCAGTTATAGTGACCCAAATAATATTCATATGATTAACATGTTTCCATTTGCTCAATGCACTCCTAAATCCAGCTTTTCTTTATTTTGACTTTGCTTGGTTTAGTTGGGATACCATTTTGCTATTTCAGTTCTCGCATTTCTAACTTGCTAATCTTACTAATTATTATAATTTTTTGCGAAAAGGAAATACGTTGTTGATTCAAGAATTCATCATAAAATGAAAACCTTTGAGGGTAGAATGATTTCTGATCGGGTATCATGCTGATAGCTTCAGATTCAAATAACACCAAAATGGTTATCAGTTAAATTGATTGATAATAATAACCAATTGCCATTTGATTAGATTTATAGAATTCTAATTTTTTTAACATCTGCTTGATATTTCTAAACCTGTGAAATGTAACGTTGCGCCTAGTGATGGGACTTTTTAACCCTACCTAATGTCTACACTTAATAAATCCAAGTTATTAATCCAAAAAGATCCATTTTGCCAATAAATCACCAGCTTCTATAATTTCAACCAGATTTTTCCAAAAATTAACCGGAAAACCCAGTTATTAGTATTAGTACTAGTATTTCAAGCCCGATCACGTTATTGAGGTTAGAATCTCGTTTACCCTGAAATTTATTGTGTCACTATGTACTCGTCGCGTTTTACATGTATCAAAAATTCGATTAGATTTTTTGTAAATAAATATCTCAGTTAAAAATGATCGTTACTTTTGATGGTGAACAAGAAGAATTTGAAAATCACATAAAGGAAGAAGAAGAGGAGGAGGAGGAGGAGGAGGAGGAGGAGGAAGAAGAGAAAGAAGAGAAAGAAGAGAAAGAAGGAAAAATATCAGCGACAACTTTAATTGAAGTTCCTTCAGTTAATGATACTCCTTTAACCTCTTCTTACACTTATCATTCGCCAAAGCCTGCCTTTTTATTATCAGATAACAATAAAGATGTACCTTGTGTATTAGGAGTTGATGAAGCAGGCAGAGGTCCTGTTCTTGGTAAATATTGGTTAAACTTTTTTTAAAAAAATTTTTGTAATTCTAAACAATTGAAAATTATACTTTTTTTATTTAAAAAAAAAACAAAAGGACCAATGGTTTATGGAGTATGTTATTGTCCCATTTCAAAATACAGCGAAATAAGCAAATTAGGATTTGCAGGTGAAATATAAAAATTTATTTTGTGTAGGTAATTTTTTATGAATAAAGTAAAATAATAATAATATTATATGAATAGATTCAAAGACTTTAAAAGAAGGTCAAAGAGAAGATCATTTTCAATTAATCCAATCCAATAATGATATAATTTCCTGGAGTGTAAGAGTACTTTCACCTCAAGATATTTCTTGGAACATGTTAAAGTTAGATAAACATAATTTGAATGCACAGGCACATGAGACAACGATTCAACTAATACAACAGGTTTTAGATCAAGGTGTCAATTTAACAGAGGTTTGAAGTTTTTTTTTTCTACATTGAAATATTTTTAGTAAACAGTATAGAATAAATAAATGTTTATTTAAAAGATATATGTAGACACAGTAGGACCTCCAGATTCATATCAAAAAAAACTTTCAAGTAATTTTCCATCAATAGATATTACAGTTTCAAAAAAAGCAGATAGTAAATATCCAATAGTTAGTGCGGCAAGTATTTGTGCAAAAGTCACTAGAGATCATATTTTGAAAAAATGGAAATTTATTGAAAAGACAATTATTTCAACTAAATTTGGTTCAGGGTATCCTTCAGGTTAAATATTATTAACTTTTTTGTTTTAAATTTTATTTTATTTTGATAATTTTTATTTATTTATATATTGATTAATAGATCCAAATACAGTTAATTGGTTAGAAAATAATATTGATTCAGTATTTGGATTTCCAAATATTATACGTTTCAGTTGGGCAACATGTGAAATGATTCTTAACAAGAAAGCAATATCAGTAACATGGTAATTAATATATTTATATTTATGTTTATATACTTTTAATATTTTATTAAATTATAATAAATTTAGGCCAGAAAATTATCCTTCCCAGAATAACAACTTAAAACAAATGTTTACAAAGGAATCAAACAAAACTTCTTACAATAAATCTAAATTATTCAAAGATATTGGATTAAGTTATGTTTCTGAATTCCAATAGTTTTAAAAAAAAAAGATTTTACTATATAGCATTAATTAAAAATTGACATATAAGAAATTTATTACTGTAAAAAAAAGAAAAAACTATGAAATTTCATCTAGTCTATATTCTAAAAATATTAATTAAACATCTTGATTTTTAATCATTTTAATAATAATAGATCTAAATATTATAGAAAAAAAATTTATTATTATTAATCTATTTGCTCATTGATGAAGATGTTGATGTTAATGGTTGATAATGATTTTTATTGATTGTTTTACGTATTTTGTAATAATTATATGCTATTATTCCAGAAATTGAAATTATAAGCCTAGATAATTAAAAAATATTTTAGAGAATATTTTTAAAAAAATTATATTTAATTCACAAAAAGAAATATAATTACCCCAAGAAATTTATAGAAGTTATTACATCATGATAGATAATGACAGAAAGAGTGATGATAAGCACTTCTTTACTAATACCAGCTACAGATAATGTGACAGTACTTGTATTTTTGATTAAAGAAAATTCGGCCACAGTCATACAAAAGGCTAACAAGCCACCTGTTAACATTAAACCAAATGTTTGTAAGCCAGTTGTAAAATCTTGAAAATGTATAGAAGTACCAGAGATGAAAAAAGGATTTTCAAACATCAAAGAAAGAATAAACATCAAGATAAACATTACAGGTGAGATGTAATAAAGTGTTGAAATTGGATCATTCATTCCTTCCTCTTTCTGCAACAATATTTGTGTCAATGTCCATCTCAAACCACTAATAATTGCTGCACCCAATACTAAGAAAAATCCTATCAGATTAAATTTTGTTTCTCCTGCCACAGTCAATATCACACCTATACTCATCACTGTTATTATTAATATAAGTAAAATTCTTGGTTGCTCTAAATGAAATAAGAAAGCAAAAAGCAAAACCCAAATTGGTGTAGATGATTTTACCTTTGAAGAAAATGTAGGTTGGGAATTATATGAATTTTAATTAGATGAAAAGGTTAGGAAAACCCCTTTCCCAATTGATAATAATAATTTCTTTTCTTACCATAGTATAAAAACTAAGTGTTATATATACAAGAGATGCATTAGCCATACATATTTCTAATGCAGCAGCCACAGCACAGGGAATCTAATAATAATGAAGGAATATTAGAAAAGCTTTATAAAGTTTTCCTCCTTCCCCCAAAATAAAACAAAAAACTTACAACTCTAGTAACATAACTACGAATTGATATTGATTTTACATTTTTTCTTTCATAAATAAATGGTAAAGTATTATTCATCAAAACAACAGTTATTATAGAGTGCACTCCAGTATGTATAGAACTTACAAGTAATGGTAAATTTAAATTGAAATTATCTCTTCCCATTAAATTCTTATTATAGAATGATAATGCAGTAGAAAAAAAATACCAAGTAAATATGTAAGAAAGATTTTTTAAAATATTTTCCCAACTAAAAATGTAATTATAAGTTTTTGGTTTATTACTATCATCATTATCTTTTAGAATGTTTTCTTGTGTTGAAAAAGAATTTTCTAAATCATTATTACTACTATTATGTGTTAGTAACGTTACAGCCGACTCATTGTCATTATTGCCACCATGAATATTTATTGTTAAATTAGCAGAAGAGTTTATCGAAGATGAAGAGGTAGGTGGACTAGATCTTTGTTGTAACAACATAGATCTATTACCAAGTTTTGGATTTAACCTATCTATATTATAATTTGAAAGTGTTTCAATCGAATTTTTGTTCTTAATATTATTATTATTATTAATATTATCTAAAATGATTGCTTCGTCATTTTCCATGTTGAAATAGTTTAAACGCAGATAATTAAATTTATGTAAGTAGGAGTTAACCAGAATGATCTACATAATTTTAATTAGTTCCTGCCGTTGTTAAACACCTTGTTTCTTGTAAGTTATAATGAAGTGTAACTAATTAAATACGTGTTATAACGAACTTTTAACAATCTGGCTCCGAACGATATGTCACAGGAAGTGTAATTACATATAAATTCGACTCGTGTAACCAATCAGTTTTTTAAAATATCTCATTATTTTTATAAAATCAAAAATAAAACTATGACATTACAGCTTTCTAATGAGTCCTCTCCCATATTGATAGAGGCTCTCTATGTCAAGCTATATTTATTCAAAAACAGCATTACTTTTTACTTCAAAGCTAAGATTTTTTACCAATAT